TTGCTCACCAAGGTAAGTAAATCCGGCCGCTACCTGGCTCACCAAGGTAAGTAAATCCGGCCGCTACCTGGCTCACCAAGGTAAGTAAATCCGGCCGCTACCTGGCTCACCAAGGTAAGTAAATCCGGCCGCTACCTTGCTCACCAAGGTAAGTAAATCCGGCCGCTACCTGGCTCACCAAGGTAAGTAAATCCGGCCGCTACCTGGCTCACCAAGGTAAGTAAATCCGGCCGCTACCTTGCTCACCAAGGTAAGTAAATCCGGCCGCTACCTTGCTCACCAAGGTAAGTAAATCCGGCTGCTACCTGGCTCACCAAGGTAAGTAAATCCGGCCGCTACCTGGCTCACCAAGGTAAGTAAATCCGGCCGCTACCTGGCTCACCAAGGTAAGTAAATCCGGCCGCTACCTGGCTCACCAAGGTAAGTAAATCCGGCCGCTACCTTGCTCACCAAGGTAAGTAAATCCGGCCGCTACCTGGCTCACCAAGGTAAGTAAATCCGGCCGCTACCTGGCTCACCAAGGTAATTGTAAATCTGGCCGCTACCTTGCTCACCAAGGTAAGTAAATCCGGCCGCTACCTGGCTCACCAAGGTAAGTAAATCCGGCCGCTACCTGGCTCACCAAGGTAAGTAAATCCGGCCGCTACCTGGCTCACCAAGGTAAGTAAATCCGGCCGCTACCTTGCTCACCAAGGTAAGTAAATCCGTCCGCTACCTGGCTCACCAAGGTAAGTAAATCCGGCCGCTACCTGGCTCACCAAGGTAATTGTAAATCTGGCCGCTACCTTGCTCACCAAGGTAAGTAAATCCGGCCGCTACCTGGCTCACCAAGGTAAGTAAATCCGGCCGCTACCTTGCTCACCAAGGTAAGTAAATCCGGCCGCTACCTTGCTCACCAAGGTAATTGTAAATCTGGCCGCTACCTGGCTCACCAAGGTAAGTAAATCTGGCCGCTACCTTGCTCACCAAGGTAATTGTAAATCTGGCCGCTACCTGGCTCACCAAGGTAAGTAAATCCGGCCGCTACCTGGCTCGCGGCCAAGGTAATTGTAAATTTGGCCGCTACCTGGCTCACCAAGGTAATTGTAAATCCGACCGCTACCTTGCTCACCAAGGTAAGTAAATCTGGCTGCTACCTGGCTCACCAAGGTAAGTAAATCCTGCCGCTACCTTGCTCACCAAGGTAAGTAAATCCTGCCGCTACCTTGCTCACCAAGGTAAGTAAATCCGGCCGCTACCTGGCTCACCAAGGTAAGTAAATCCGGCCGCTACCTTGCTCACCAAGGTAAGTAAATCCGGCCGCTACCTTGCTCACCAAGGTAAGTAAATCCTGCCGCTACCTTGCTCACCAAGGTAAGTAAATCCGGCCGCTACCTGGCTCACAAGGTAATTGTAAATCTGGCCGCTACCTTGCTCACCAAGGTAATTGTAAATCTGGCCGCTACCTGGCTCACAAGGTAAGTAAATCCGGCCGCTTTCCTTGCTCACCAAGGTAATTGTAATCCGGCTGCTACCTGGCTCACCAAGGTAAGTAAATCCGGCGTACCTGGCCGCGGCCAAGGTAACTGTAAATCCGGCGCTCCCGGGTACCAAGGTAATTGTAAACCCGGGCCCGTCCCTGGCTCGCGGCAAGGTAATTGTAAATCGGGCCGTCCGGCTCGGGGCCAAGGTAAGAAAAATTGGCTGTACCTGGCTCGCGCCAAAGGTAAGAAATGGGCCCGTACCTGGCTCGCGGCAGGAAATTTGTAAACGGCCGCTCCCGGCTCGCGGCCAAGGTAAGTAAATTGGGCTGTACCGGCTCCCAAAGGTAAGTAAACCCGGGCCGCTACCTGGCTCGCGGCCAAGGTAATTGTAAATCCGGCCGCTACCTGGCTCACCAAGGTAATTGTAAATCCGGCGCTACCTTGCTCACCAAGGTAAGTAAATCCGGCCGCTACCTGGCTCGCGGCCAAGGTAATTGTAAATCCGGCGCTACCTGGCTCACCAAGGTAATTGTAAATCCGGCCGCTACCTGGCTCACCAAGGTAAGTAAATCCGGCCGCTACCTGGCTCGCGGCCAAGGTAATTGTAAATCCGGCCGCTACCTGGCTCGCGGCCAAGGTAATTCAAATTGTAAGTCCGGCCGCTACCTGGCTCGCAGCCAAGGTAATTCAAATTGTAAATCCGGCCGCTACCTGGCTCGCGGCCAAGGTAGGTAAATCTGGCCGCTACCTGGCTCGCGGCCAAGGTAATTGTAAATCCGGCCGCTACCTGGCTCGCGGCCAAGGTAATTCAAATTGTAAATTTGGCCGCTACCTGGCTCGCGGCCAAGGTAAGTAAATCCGGCCGCTACCTGGCTCGCGGCCAAGGTAATTGTAAATCCGGCCGCTACCTGGCTCGCGGCCAAGGTAATTGTAAATCCGGCCGCTACCTGGCCGCTACCTGGCTCGCCAAGGTACCAGTAAATCCAGCCACTTTTCTTTTGTGGATGGCCGCTTTATTTCCAGATCCGTGATGGCGTATTTTATCATATATTATGACGCAGTGAAATTATCGGACTATTCCGTTACAAATTGAACTGGTAATACTGCACCTCAGATCAATAAAATGTGATTAATTAATGTACAACATTAACTAGACTTAAGGGGGGGGGGGGGGGGGGGGGGGGGGGGGGTCACCCTGATTTTTTTGTGAAACTTGGTTTCGAGATAGCAGTTGACCAACAAACTAGGACCAGTGACCAAACTTTTGAGGGGGTCCCTGACCCCAACCGCCAAACGGTGCCTGCGGGGCAGCCACGCTGGTCCAAATTAGGCCCAATTTAGCCAAATACCGTGAACATGCCCAAAATCCAGAGTTTAGGTGCTCTACTTGTAGCTAGTGGTCCCCTGAACTCGTATATGAATTTCCATCAAGATTGGACAAAAAATGACTGAGTTATGAGCAAAAAACCATATGACCATATTTGGGCATACGCATCAAATTTGATCGATTTTGGCCCATATATTAGTCAAATATCAATATTTTTGAACGAAACCAACTTTATATGGAAGGTAAGCATATACTATATACTACACATTCTCTATGATTATCAGCTCAGTATCTACCTAACTGTGGGTTCTGTGTTCAAATAATCGCAAAAAAGGAACAAAATTGCCCATATCTCAGTTCGCGATATTTGCAAAACTGATTTCGCTCAAAACAATAGAACTCAATAGGGTTTCAATATTTTTACATGAAATTTTCAGAATCAACGTACAATCGCATTTCAACCTTAAGTTTTGGGACAGAATTTTGAGTTAGGCCTTTAAAAAAATTTGGCGGCCAAATTCTGAATTTCGCATTGCGAATTTTGGAATTTGGCCGCCCCCCTTAAGTAAAAGTCTATATAATAGAATATAGAAAACAAAATAGCCTACTACTACTATGAAAGCTTAATAACAAACTGTGAAAGAGTGGTTAACGTAAATAAAACTATTCCGACACAACCAAAGAAATAGCTCTCGCAAAAGGTAACATGCATATTATTGCATAAGGAATTATAAGGAGGCCTAGCACACTATAATCTACATGAAGTCATAAAATGTAAAACTATGCCAGTGTCTGAGGATACACATTACACGCTGACTGACTATTATTATTAATAAATAACTTAAGATATCTATGCAAGATCTTCCGTTAAAAAGTCTGGGTAATCAGTTTATCAATTAATAATTTAATTTTAACATCATTAATAAGTTCAGTAACCACTGAGGAGGATTTGCATATCCTATACAGTTCGTCTACAAATATTCCATACGAATGTTTTACAGGTACGTTGGAGCGTAAAAGTACCGACTTTCAAACTGAAATCACGTCATTTGTCATTATATAACAAACGCTCATAATTACAGGATTATTATTATATTTATTATTATCAAACTTTACACAAATCCAAAGTAGTTACTAAGAACATCCTAAAGACCTCCACTTAAAAGACTTGTAGAACTAAAAACTTACTATAAAGTGGAATTACATTGCAAAGAGCATACAAGTTCTTGTTGCTGATGATGCGGGGATAGGTCATGTTGATGATACGTCTTAGATGTTTGCGTTGACACACATCAACTTTATTGATAATGTTCTGTGGAGCTGCCCAGCTGTTACAGTTGTACAATAAAACAGGGGTAACAAATGCTTCATACAGCTTGATTTTTACAGGAAGAGAAATGCGGGATTTCTCTGCCCATACCTTGCTGTATTTCTCAAAGGCAACGTAAGCAAGGATGCATCGGCGAGAGATATCAGCCTTACTGCAGAGCTTGGATCCAAGAGAAATAGTGTTGCGCCAGGGCTCTCTGTTCTTCACGGGTTCACCCTTGGCGTCTACCTCGTCCTTATCTGCAATGTAGAAGTGGACATGTTCTGTTTTGTCCTCGTTCACAAACAGGTTCCATTCTTCAAGGATCTCCTTACATATGGGCAGCATTTCTTTAAGAGTTTCCTCATCCTCATCTGCAAAATTGCCATCGTCGGCGTATTCCCATTCAATAGGCATGAGGGTCTCGGGGTTGAACGGTGGGTTAGGCCGAATGGTAATCACTACTGCACGGAAGTGATACATAGCTCCAGCAAAGTACAGTGTGAAGAATGCACCAGATGCAGCATCACCTTGAAACGAACCCTCGGATGTTTCAAACTCTAAGGAAATGGTGTTGTTGATTTTTATTCTCAATTTGGTGTTGGAGAGCAAGTATCTCGCCAAACGAATGTCATCCTCACAACAATCAGCACCAGCCAAAAGTTCCAGGATAACTGATCTCTTTATGGTATCGAAGGCCGAGCTCATGTCGATTCCCATCTTGTGGAACTCCCATCTCTTCTCTTTCACAACAGAATTAGGATATAATTAATGCTCATAATTACAGGATTAAGATATAATTAATGCTCATAATTACAGGATTAGGATATAATTAACGCTCATAATTACAGGATTAGGATATAATTAATGCTCATAATTACAGCTACTAACTACTTCTCAGTAACTACAGCAAGACACGCCCGATACCTGACAACACTACTAAACATCACGTTGGACCGGTACAATTGGAGGAGGTTATTAACATATTTGACATGGTGAGACTGCTGCAGTACGACCCTAACTGCGTGATTCAAAGCGAGTTACCTCTTCCAATGGAACAGATGGGACAGGTACTGGTTACTTTTAGTTACTTTTAGTTACTTTTAGTTACTTTTAGTTACTTTTAGTTACTTTTAGTTACTTTTAGTTACTTTTAGTTACTTTTAGTTACTTTTAGTTACTTTTAGTTACTTTTAGTTACTTTTAGTTACTTTTGGTTACTTTTAGTTACTTTTAGTTACTTTTAGTTACTTTTAAGCTTCAACTCGGAAACATCGGTTCCTACCATACCCATATTTGATATTTGTCTCCGATTATTAACTGGCAAAAATCTGTACTATAAATATTATAAATTTTAGCATAAAGTGCTCTAAAAGTGTATTGGTCAATAATAATAATGAAAAGGTTAATTTTATTCAATTTCAAAGCAGCGAATTTTACGATTTGTCTGTTTGCTGCACTGCAACCTTAAACTGTTGAAAACCATGTAATTTTGATTAAGAGTTTTATTAGGGTGTTACCATTATGAAATAATGTAACAACACGTTTCAGAATCACGGATTTGTTGTCTACCAAACTATGATACCGGAGGAAATACCTCTACCAGCAGCTATTGACATAGACCTTTACGGAGACAGGTACATACCAAGAGGCAGGCAATGGGAACTCGCCAGCCCACGGCAACATTTAATATATTGACAAAACCCCGTAACATAACAAGAGATGAGATCTGGCAATATTACACCTCAGATAAATGAAAAGTAATGATAAAGTATTATATTTAGTTATAACTAAACACTTGCAAATATAAAATAGAATATAAAATATAATATAAAATATAATATAAAATATAATATAATCTACTATGACCTATAAGAACAGCGGAGAATTAAAACGACTAAAAACGCCACGTGTCTTAAATGTTACAGCAGCGAACAAAATTGACCCTACTCGTTAATAGTAATATAAATAAATAATTGTAAATACATTTTTTACCAAGTACTGCAGTCAGCTTTTCAAGTCAATTTTACATCATTTTATTTGCAATTTGAGGACATAGTAAAGTTAAATAATTTTTTAAGCATTCCGAAAATCTATCGGAAATTATTTCCAGCTTGCCCCTTCATTAAAATATTGCAATTGAGGTTAATGCTTTTTTAGAATAATTTGGTTTAAAAAACGATTTTTGTAATTTAGTATTCTCTGGTGTTGGGGCATCCTCAGAAGCAACATATTATACAATATAATTGCAGCCAAATTTTGCGAAATGTACGGCAAATTTTATTCAATTAGATTGGTATTTCTGTGATGGAAAGTTACTCATTGGGTTAGTTTAATAGTTCTTTAACGAAGGAGTAATTATTTTAAGGCCCGTTTTAAATTTTAGATCTTTAGTTAACTGGATGATAAAAGGGACCTTCTGGTTTTGCTGACGTCAGCAAAACCATAATATTTACACGGTAACCATGGCAACTGTTGCTGACGTCAGCAAAAATACTTGAATTTTAGCCAACTTTTAAATCAATTTGGTTAGCAATACTCCTCGTGTAAAATCATCTCCGAAGAAATAACAGTCTGGTTACATTCTGTCTAAAACTTTGACTCGCCAGCGATTGAATAATCGAGCACTGATGGTGATACTGCACTAGTGTATTTAGTTTAATAATTATGTAAGGAAGGGGCTAAATCAGCTACTGAGCACTGCGTACTACTACTATATTATATAATATAAATATAATAATATTATTTAATATATATACAGGGTTTACGTAATGACAGAAGACGGTGAAGTACAGATCAGTTCCCGAAACCGCCCTTACAAAACCTTCTCATTTAGTCGCAGGAAGCTTTACATCCTGGTTGAAGACAACGGTACGTAGTGTAATAACTCAACTTTAATATTACTCAACTTTATGTCATGTTAGTTGTGTCAGTGAACACTGTAGCACATTTACATAACCGAAAGAGTCATTTCCCCAGACAATATGCGACTAAGAAACACTAAACAGTCTATAGTAGATTACGTCCAGACACCAGTAAAACGCATAGAAACATAACAATAACAAGATCATGTGCCTGTCTTTACTTATTTTCAGGGACAAAAGGAAATCGCGGCATGTACGGAATCGCGATTTTTCCCATTATTTGCGACAAATTTTATGTATAGTTTAATGTATAGCCTGTTAAAATTCGCGGTATCGCGATTTTTGGCCAAAACAATCGCGAAACCCTTTTGTCCCTGCTTATTTTAGCTAAAAATGGTAACAGTTGCCATGGTTACCGTGTAAATATTAACAGTTGCCACGGTTACCGTGTAAATATTAACAGTTGCCATGGTTACCGTATAAATATTAACAGTTGCCATGGTTACCGTGTAAATATTAACAGTTGCCATGGTTACTGTGTAAATATTAACAGTTGCCATGGTTACCGTGTAAATATCAACAGTTGCCATGGTTACCGTATAAATATTAACAGTTGCCATGGTTACCGTATAAATATTAACAGTTGCCATGGTTACCGTGTAAATATTAACAGTTGCCATGGTTACCGTGTAAATATTAACAGTTGCCATGGTTACCGTGTAAATATTAACAGTTGCCATGGTTACCGTGTAAATATTAACAGTTGCCATGGTTACCGTGTAAATATTAACAGTTGCCATGGTTACCGTGTAAATATTAACAGTTGCCATGGTTACCGTGTAAATATTAACAGTTGCCATGGTTACCGTGTAAATATTAACACTTGCCATGGTTACCGTGTAAATATTAACACTTGCCATGGTTACCGTGTAAATATTAACAGTTGCCATGGTTACCGTGTAAATATTTACAGTTGCCATGGTTACCGTGTAAATATTAACAGTTGCCATGGTTACCGTGTAAATATTAACAGTTGCCATGGTTACCGTGTAAATATTTACAGTTGCCATGGTTACAGTGTAAATATTAACAGTTGCCATGGTTACCGTGTAAATATTTACAGTTGCCATGGTTACCGTGTAAATATTAACAGTTGCTATGGTTACCGTGTAAATATTAACAGTTGCCATGGTTACCGTGTAAATATTAACAGTTGCCATGGTTACCGTGTAAATATTAACAGTTGCCATGGTTACCGTGTAAATATTTACAGTTGCCATGGTTACCGTGTAAATATTTACAGTTGCCATGGTTACCGTGTAAATATTAACAGTTGCCATGGTTACCGTGTAAATATTAACAGTTGCCATGGTTACCGTGTAAATATTAACAGTTGCCATGGTTACCGTGTAAATATTAACAGTTGCAATGATTACCGTGTAAATATTAACAGTTGCCATGGTTACCGTGTAAATATTAACAGCTGCCATGGTTACCGTGTAAATATTAACAGCTGCCATGGTTACCGTGTAAATATTTACAGTTGCCATGGTTACCGTGTAAATATTAACAGTTGCCATGGTTACCGTGTAAATATTAACAGTTGCCATGGTTACCGTGTAAATATTAACAGTTGCCATGGTTACCGTGTAAATATTGACAGTTGCCATGGTTACCGTGTATGGTTACCGTGTAAATATTAACAGTTGCCATGGTTACCGTGTAAATATTAACAGATGCCATGATTACCGTGTAAATATTAACAGTTGCCATGGTTACCGTGTAAATATTAACAGTTGCCATGGTTACCGTGTAAATATTAACAGTTGCCATGGTTACCGTGTAAATATTAACACTTGCCATGGTTACCGTGTAAATATTAACAGTTGCCATGGTTACCGTGTAAATATTAACACTTGCCATGGTTACCGTGTAAATATTAACACTTGCCATTGTTACCGTGTAAATATTAACACTTGCCATGGTTACCGTGTAAATATTAACAGTTGCAATGATTACGTGTAAATATTAACACTTGCCATGGTTACCGTGTAAATATTAACAGTTGCCATGGTTACCGTGTAAATATTAACAGTTGCCATGGTTACCGTGTAAATATTAACAGTTGCCATGGGGTTACAGTTGTAAATTATGCTTCTAACAGTGTGCCATGGGTTTACCGTGTAAATTTTTACTGTTGCAGATCTGGTTTCCGTGCTAAATATTAACAGTTGCCATGGGTTCCGTATAATTGTAACAGTTGACATGGTGACCGTGTAAATATTAAACATCTTGCCATGGTTTTACCGGGTAAAATATTAACACGTGCCATGGTTACCGTGTAATTACTGTTGATAACTGTTGCCATGGTTACAGTGGTATATAGTTACTGTTGCATGGTTACCGGGGTAAAGAGGTTATCAGGTGCCTTGGTTTACCGTGTTGGTAATTATGAACACTTGCCATGGTTACCGGGTATATATAGTTTATCAGTGGCCATGGGGACGGGCCCCCGTCGGATTAGAAATCTAACTCTTCAACTTAATTATAAACAATTAAACAACCATAAAAAAGAAAGAATAAAACCCCCCCCCCCCCCCCCCCCCCCCACAAAATAAATATAAACCCAAACACTAACGCCCCAAAAATATTGAACAGTGGCCTAGGGTTCCCGTGATTATTTATTAACAGTTGCCATGGTAACGGGTTAATCTTTATCTGTTGACATGGTTACCGTGGTAAATGTTCTATCAGTTGCCATTGGTTACCGTGTAAATAGAATCTGCTGCCATGGTTACCGTGTTATTTATTAACTAGTTGCCAAGTGGTTACCGTTGTAAATATTAACAGCTGCCATGGTTAACGTGTAAATTATTATCACGTGGCCATGGGTTACCGGGGATCAATATATATCTAAATATTTAACACTTGCCATGGTTACGGGTAAATATTAACAGTTACCATGGTTACTGTCCTGTTGATAAAAAGATGATACAGTTGCCATGGTTACAGTGGTAATTAAGTGAACAGTTGCCATGGTGTACCGTGGAAATATTAACAGTGCCATGGTTACCGTGATTAAGATTATCAGATGGACATGGGTGACCGGGTAATATGATTGGACTGGGCCATGGTGTCCGCGAGGTTACCGGTATAATCAACTATTAATTTTAAACTCCACAAAAAACCCCAAAATCCATTCAAATTTAAAACCATTCACAAAAATCCAACTAAATAACATAATATTATCTGTTGCCTTGGTTACACGTGTAAAATTTAACTAGTTGCCATGGGTTTCCGTGGAAATATATCAGGGGAAGCCATGGGTACCGGGGTTCTATTGTCAGGTGGCCTTGGTGACAGTGTAATATTAGTTAAACTCGTGGCCATGGGGTATTCCGGGCGATTGTTAGTTAACAGTTGCCCTTGGTGTACCGGGGAATTTATAGGTTTCAGGCTGCCATGGACTAACCGTGTCATTAGTATACACTGGCCCTGGGTGTACCGGGTAAATATGTTACTGGCGGCCCAGGGTTACCGGGCTTTATATGTACAAGGGGCCTTGGGTGACCGTGTTTATTGTTCCTGGTGCCAGGTGTTTACGTGACAATATTTACATGTTGCCAAGGGTTTGTCCGGGTTTTGTAGATACACAATACCTTGCAATGCTGACGTGTGTAATAGCTATAAGTTGCCATGTCTTGACCTGCGTTTAATTAGTATTCTGTTAGCCACGTTTACAGTGTAATAATTGTTATGTGTGGCAAGGGGTATCCGGGGTCACAAGTTGTTCTGGTGACTGGGTTAACGTTGTAAATTTATGAACACATGCAAGGCGTGACGTTTTGTGTCAAACTTTGAATCTGGTGCCGGGTACCGGTGGTTATAAAAGATTTTCCTGGGGCCTGGGCGGACCGGGGATATAATACAGTAGGGGACTGGGGGTACAGGGGTTTGCATGTTGATCAAAAGATCTAATAAAAAAAATAATTAACCTCCTCCATCCCCATTGGATAAGGTGGCCTTGGTTACCGTGTAAATATTAAACTTGACATGTTGACACGGGGAATGTGTTTCATGTATGGACTGGCCGTACCGTGTAATTTTTAACTGGTGCCTTGGTTACAGTGGAAATATTTATCAGTGGCCAGCGGGCCTCCGTGGTTTTATATGATTCTCCTGCAATGGGTTACAGGGTTTATGTGTTCCTGTGGCCTGGGGGTTGATCAAGGGGAAAGTGGTTATGGGGACCATGGTTAACGTGTGAAATTTGTACATCGTTGCCTTGCGTTACCGTGTAAACATTAACAAGGTTGCCCTGGTTACCCGTGTAAAAGATTCAACAGTTTGCCATGGATACCGTGTAAATATAAACAGTTGCCATTGTTACCGTGAAATATTAACAGTTGCCATTGTTACCGTGTAAAAAATTAACAGTTGCCATGGTTACCGTGTAAATATTAACACTTTTGCCATGGCTTACCGTGTTAAAATATTACAGTTGCCATGGTTACCGTTGTAAATATTAACAGTTGCCATGGTTACCGTTGGTAAATAATTGCCATGGTTACCGTGTAAATATTAACAGTTGCCATGGTTACCGTGTAAATATTAACAGTTGCCATGGTTACCGTGTAAATATTAACAGTTGCCATGGTTACCGTGTAAATATTAACAGTTGCCATGGTTACCGTGTAAATATTAACAGTTGCCATGGTTACCGTGTAAATATTAACAGTTGCCATGGTTACCGTGTAAATATTAACAGTTGCCATGGTTACCGTGTAAATATTAACAGTTGCCATGGTTACCGTGTAAATATTAACAGTTGCCATTGAAGGCCATGGTTACCGTGTAAATATTAACAGTTGCCATGGTTACCGTGTAAATATTAACAGTTGCCATGGTTACCGTGTAAATATTAACACTTGCCATGGTTACCGTGTAAATATTAACAGTTGCCATGGTTACCGTGTAAATATTAACAGTTGCCATGGTTACCGTGTAAATATTAACAGTTGCCATGGTTACCGTGTAAATATTAACAGTTGCCATGGTTACCGTGTAAATATTAACAGTTGCCATGGTTACCGTGTAAATATTAACAGTTGCCATGGTTACCGTGTAAATATTAACAGTTGCCATGGTTACCGTGTAAATATTAACAGTTGCCATGGTTACCGTGTAAATATTAACAGTTGCCATGGTTACCGTGTAAATATTAACAGTTGCCATGGTTACCGTGTAAATATTAACAGTTGCCATGGTTACCGTGTAAATATTAACAGTTGCCATGGTTACCGTGTAAATATTAACAGTTGCCATGGTTACCGTGTAAATATTAACAGTTGCCATGGTTACCGTGTAAATATTAACAGTTGCCATGGTTACCGTGTAAATATTAACAGTTGCCATGGTTACCGTGTAAATATTAACAGTTGCCATGGTTACCGTGTAAATATTAACAGTTGCCATGGTTACCGTGTAAATATTAACAGTTGCCATGGTTACCGTGTAAATATTAACAGTTGCCATGGTTACCGTGTAAATATTAACACTTGCCATGGTTACCGTGTAAATATTAACAGTTGCCATGCTTACCGTGTAAATATTAACACTTGCCATGGTTACCGTGTAAATATTAACAGTTGCCATGCTTACCGTGTAAATATTAACACTTGCCATGGTTACCGTGTAAATATTAACAGTTGCCATGGTTACCGTGTAAATATTAACAGTTGCCATGGTTACCGTGTAAACATTAACAGTTGCCATGGTTACCGTGTAAATATTAACACTTGCCATGGTTACCGTGTAAACATTAACAGTTGCCATGGTTACCGTGTAAATATTAACACTTGCCATGGTTACCGTGTAAATATTAACAGTTGCCATGGTTACCGTGTAAACATTAACAGTTGCCATGGTTACCGTGTAAATATTAACACTTGCCATGGTTACCGTGTAAATATTAACAGTTGCCATGGTTACCGTGTAAATATTAACAGTTGCCATGGTTACCGTGTAAATATTAACAGTTGCCATGGTTACCGTGTAAATATTAACAGTTGCTATGGTTACCGTGTAAATATTAACAGTTGCCATGGTTACCGTGTAAATATTAACAGTTGCCATGGTTACCGTGTAAACATTAACACTTGCCATGGTTACCGTGTAAATATTAACAGTTGCCATGGTTACCGTGTAAATATTAACAGTTGCCATGGTTACCGTGTAAATATTAACACTTGCCATGGTTACCGTGTAAATATTAACAGTTGCCATGGTTACCGTGTAAATATTAACAGTTGCCATGGTTACCGTGTAAATATTAACAGTTGCCATGGTTACCGTGTAAATATTAACAGTTGCCATGGTTACCGTGTAAATATTAACAGTTGCCATGGTTACTGTGTAAATATTAACAGTTGCCATGGTTACCGTGTAAATATTAACAGTTGCCATGGTTACTGTGTAAATATTAACAGTTGCCATGGTTACTGTGTAAATATTAACAGTTGCCATGGTTACTGTGTAAATATTAACAGTTGCCATGGTTACCGTGTAAATATTAACACTTGCCATGGTTACTGTGTAAATATTAACACTTGCCATGGTTTCCGTGTAAATATTAACAGTTGCCATGGTTACTGTGTAAATATTAACAGTTGCCATGGTTACCGTGTAAATATTAACAGTTGCCATGGTTACTGTGTAAATATTAACAGTTGCCATGGTTACCGTGTAAATATTAACAGTTGCCATGGTTACCGTGTAAATATTAACAGTTGCCATGGTTACTGTGTAAATATTAACAGTTGCCATGGTTACCGTGTAAATATTAACAGTTGCCATGGTTACTGTGTAAATATTAACAGTTGCCATGGTTACCGTGTAAATATTAACACTTGCCATGGTTACCGTGTAAATATTAACAGTTGCCATGGTTACTGTGTAAATATTAACAGTTGCCATGGTTACCGTGTAAATATTAACAGTTGCCATGGTTACCGTGTAAATATTAACAGTTGCCATGGTTACTGTGTAAATATTAACAGTTGCCATGGTTACCGTGTAAATATTAACAGTTGCCATGATTACAGCGTAAATATTAACACTTGCCATGATTACAGCGTAAATATTAACAGTTGCCATGGTTACCGTGTAAATATTAACACTTGCCATGGTTACCGTGTAAATATTAACAGTTGCCATGGTTACCGTGTAAATATTAACAGTTGCCATGGTTACCGTGTAAATATTAACACTTGCCATGGTTACCGTGTAAATATTAACAGTTGCCATGGTTACCGTGTAAATATTAACAGTTGCCATGGTTACTGTGTAAATATTAACACTTGCCATGGTTACCGTGTAAATATTAACAGTTGCCATGATTACAGCGTAAATATTAACAGTTGCCATGATTACAGCGTAAATATTAACAGTTGCCATGGTTACCGTGTAAATATTAACAGTTGCCATGGTTACTGTGTAAATATTAACACTTGCCATGGTTACCGTGTAAATATTAACAGTTGCCATGGTTACCGTGTAAATATTAACAGTTGCCATGATTACAGCGTAAATATTAACAGTTGCCATGGTTACCGTGTAAATATTAACAGTTGCCATGGTTACTGTGTAAATATTAACACTTGCCATGGTTACCGTGTAAATATTAACACTTGCCATGGTTACCGTGTAAATATTAACAGTTGCCATGGTTACCGTGTAAATATTAACAGTTGCCATGGTTACTGTGTAAATATTAACACTTGCCATGGTTACCGTGTAAATATTAACACTTGCCATGGTTACCGTGTAAACATTAACAGTTGCCATGGTTACTGTGTAAATATTAACAGTTGCCACGATTACCGTGTAAATTTTAACAGTTGCCATGGTTACCGTGTAAATATTAACAGTTGCCATGGTTACCGTGTAAATATTAACAGTTGCCATGGTTACCGTGTAAATATTAACAGTTGCCATGGTTACCGTGTAAATATTAACAGTTGCCATGGTTACCGTGTAAATATTAACAGTTGCCATGGTTACCGTGTAAATATTAACAGTTGCCATGGTTACCGTGTAAATATTAACAGTTGCCATGGTTACCGTGTAAATATTGACAGTTGCCATGGTTACCGTGTAAATATTAACACTTGCCATGGTTACCGTGTAAATATTAACAGTTGCCATGGTTACCGTGTAAATATTAACAGTTGCCATGGTTACCGTGTAAATATTAACAGTTGCCATGGTTACCGTGTAAATATTAACAGTTGCCATGGTTACCGTGTAAATATTAACACTTGCCATGGTTACCGTGTAAATATTAACAGTTGCCATGGTTACCGTGTAAATATTAACAGTTGCCATGTGCCATGATTACCGCGTAAATATTAACAGTTGCCACGATTACCGTGTAAATTTTAACAGTTGCCATGGTTACCGTGTAAATATTAACAGTTGCCATGGTTACCGTGTAAATATTAACAGTTGCCATGGTTACCGTGTAAATATTAACAGTTGCCATGGTTACCGTGTAAATATTAACAGTTGCCATGGTTACCGTGTAAATATTAACAGTTGCCATGGTTACCGTGTAAATATTAACAGCTGCCATGGTTACCGTGTAAATATTTACAGTTGCCATGGTTACCGTGTAAATATTAACAGTTGCCATGGTTACCGTGTAAATATTAACAGTTGCCATGGTTACTGTGTAAATATTAACAGTTGCCATGGTTACCGTGTAAATATTAACAGTTGCCATGGTTACCGTGTAAATATTAACAGTTGCCATGGTTACCGTGTAAATATTAACAGTTGCCATGGTAACTTACAGGACACAGCAACACTGGTCACGTGAGATACTCCTACAAATATTACCAGAAGGGAATAATTGGGAACGTTACAGCTAATGGCCAGGTTTGGAGCCCAATATTTGAAGATCTCATAATTTGCAAGCCCCACGGCCCTATTTTATTATTCACCATATGAAATTAAATTGCTACTCCATATACCACACTCAAATATGTTTACTTTTTTCAGGTTCTATCAGGCTGGAAAGCGTTTCTTATTTCCAATTTCCTGCCACGTGGTCCTTATGAAGGCACTCCAGAAGAAGCTTCTAAGTGCAGCTGGAGGGCACTTGTAGCAAAACACGGAAAGAGGCGTGATGAGGCAGGAGAAGAGGTAGAGAGAGAGGTAGGGAGAGGTTTCATCCCTACCTTCTACAGAGCTACCAGTCCTCTTTTACTAGAGAGTGATACATATGTAGACACACAAGGTTGGGGGAAGGGTATTCTCATGGTTCTTTATAACAAAGCTACTCAAACGGACGACATTAACCTTGGCAGGTCAGCGATCACTTTTATTTGTTACGTGTTAACGTTTTATGTAGATCTTCTGGGACGTCAAAAATACTTAAATTTTTGCCAAAATTTTAATCAATTTGGTTAGCAATAATCCCCGGGTAAAAAATTCTGTCCCAGGTATTGGCCACTAGCAGGTCCCCAGAAGAGACACTACTAACAAAGTACTGTCCCAGGTATTGGCCACTAGCAGGTCCCCAGAAGAGACACCACTAACAAAGTACTGTCCCAGGTATTGGCCACTAGCAGGTCCCCAGAAGAGACACCACTAACAAAGTACTGTCCCAGGTATTGGCCACTAGCAGGTCCCCAGAAGAGACACTACTAACAAAGTACTGTCCCAGGTATTGGCCACTAGCAGGTCCCCAGAAGAGACACCACTAACAAAGTACTGTCCCAGGTATTGGCCACTAGCAGGTCCCCAGAAGAGACACCACTAACAAAGTACTGTCCCAGGTATTGGCCACTAGCAGGTCCCCAGAAGAGACACCACTAACAAAGTACTGTCCCAGGTATTGGCCACTAGCAGGTCCCCAGAAGAGACACCACTAACAAAGTACTGTCCCAGGTATTGGCCACTAGCAGGTCCCCAGAAGAGACACTACTAACAAAGTACTGTCCCAGGTATTGGCCACTAGCAGGTCCCCAGAAGAGACACCACTAACAAAGTACTGTCCCAGGTATTGGCCACTAGCAGGTCCCCAGAAGAGACACCACTAACAAAGTACTGTCCCAGGTATTGGCCACTAGCAGGTCCCCAGAAGAGACACTACTAACAAAGTACTGTCCCAGGTATTGGCCACTAGCAGGTCCCCAGAAGAGACACTACTAACAAAGTACTGTCCCAGGTATTGGCCACTAGCAGGTCCCCAGAAGAGACACTACTAACAAAGTACTGTCCCAGGTATTGGCCACTAGCAGGTCCCCAGAAGAGACACTACTAACAAAGTACTGTCCCAGGTATTGGCCACTAGCAGGTCCCCAGAAGAGACACCACTAACAAAGTACTGTCCCAGGTATTGGCCACTAGCAGGTCCCCAGAAGAGACACTACTAACAAAGTACTGTCCCAGGTATTGGCCACTAGCAGGTCCCCAGAAGAGACACCACTAACAAAGTACTGTCCCAGGTATTGGCCACTAGCAGGTCCCCAGAAGAGACACTACTAACAAAGTACTGTCCCAGGTATTGGCCACTAGCAGGTCCCCAGAAGAGACACCACTAACAAAGTACTGTCCCAGGTATTGGCCACTAGCAGGTCCCCAGAAGAGACACTACTAACAAAGTACTGTCCCAGGTATTGGCCACTAGCAGGTCCCCAGAAGAGACACTACTAACAAAGTACTGTCCCAGGTATTGGCCACTAGCAGGTCCCCAGAAGAGACACTACTAACAAAGTACTGTCCCAGGTATTGGCCACTAGCAGGTCCCCAGAAGAGACACCACTAACAAAGTACTGTCCCAGGTATTGGCCACTAGCAGGTCCCCAGAAGAGACACTACTAACAAAGTACTGTCCCAGGTATTGGCCACTAGCAGGTCCCCAGAAGAGACACTACTAACAAAGTACTGTCCCAGGTATTGCTCACTAGCAGGTCCCCAGAAGAGACACTACTAACAAAGTACTGTCCCAGGTATTGGCCACTAGCAGGTCCCCAGAAGAGACACTACTAACAAAGTACTGTCCCAGGTATTGGCCACTAGCAGGTCCCCAGAAGAGACACCACTAACAAAGTACTGTCCCAGGTATTGGCCACTAGCAGGTCCCCAGAAGAGACACTACTAACAAAGTACTGTCCCAGGTATTGGCCACTAGCAGGTCCCCAGAAGAGACACTACTAACAAAGTACTGTCCCAGGTATTGCTCACTAGCAGGTCCCCAGAAGAGACACCACTAACAAAGTACTGTCCCAGGTATTGGCCACTAGCAGGTCCCCAGAAGAGACACCACTAACAAAGTACTGTCCCAGGTATTGGCCACTAGCAGGTCCCCAGAAGAGACACCACTAACAAAGTTCTGTCCCAGGTATTGGCCACTAGCAGGTCCCCAGAAGAGACACCACTAACAAAGTTCTGTCCCAGGTATTGGCCACTAGCAGGTCCCCAGAAGAGACACTACTAACAAAGTACTGTCCCAGGTATTGCTCACTAGCAGGTCCCCAGAAGAGACACTACTAACAAAGTACTGTCCCAGGTATTGGCCACTAGCAGGTCCCCAGAAGAGACACTACTAACAAAGTACTGTCCCAGGTATTGGCCACTAGCAGGTCCCCAGAAGAGACACTACTAACAAAGTACTGTCCCAGGTATTGGCCACTAGCAGGTCCCCAGAAGAGACACTACTAACAAAGTACTGTCCCAGGTATTGGCCACTAGCAGGTCCCCAGAAGAGACACTACTAACAAAGTACTGTCCCAGGTATTGGCCACTAGCAGGTCCCCAGAAGAGACACCACTAACAAAGTACTGTCCCAGGTATTGGCCACTAGCAGGTCCCCAGAAGAGACACTACTAACAAAGTACTGTCCCAGGTATTGGCCACTAGCAGGTCCCCAGAAGAGACACCACTAACAAAGTACTGTCCCAGGTATTGGCCACTAGCAGGTCCCCAGAAGAGACAACACTAACAAAGTACTGTCCCAGGTATTGGCCACTAGCAGGTCCCCAGAAGAGACACTACTAACAAAGTACTGTCCCAGGTATTGGCCACTAGCAGGTCCCCAGAAGAGACAACACTAACAAAGTACTGTCCCAGGTATTGGCCACTAGCAGGTCCCCAGAAGAGACAACACTAACAAAGTACTGTCCCAGGTATTGGCCACTAGCAGGTCCCCAGAAGAGACACCACTAACAAAGTACTGTCTCAGGTATTGGCCACTAGCAGGTCCCCAGAAGAGACACCAGTAACAAAGTACTGTCCCAGGTATTGGCCACTAGCAGGTCCCCAGAAGAGACACTACTAACAAAGTACTGTCCCAGGTATTGGCCACTAGCAGGTCCCCAGAAGAGACAACACTAACAAAGTACTGTCCCAGGTATTGGCCACTAGCAGGTCCCCAGAAGAGACACTACTAACAAAGTACTGTCCCAGGTATTGGCCACTAGCAGGTCCCCAGAAGAGACACTACTAACAAAGTACTGTCCCAGGTATTGGCCACTAGCAGGTCCCCAGAAGAGACACTACTAACAAAGTACTGTCCCAGGTATTGGCCACTAGCAGGTCCCCAGAAGAGACAACACTAACAAAGTACTGTCCCAGGTATTGGCCACTAGCAGGTCCCCAGAAGAGACACCACTAACAAAGTACTGTCCCAGGTATTGGCCACTAGCAGGTCCCCAGAAGAGACACCACTAACAAAGTACTGTCCCAGGTATTGGCCACTAGCAGGTCCCCAGAAGAGACACCACTAACAAAGTACTGTCCCAGGTATTGGCCACTAGCAGGTCCCCAGAAGAGACACTACTAACAAAGTACTGTCCCAGGTATTGGCCACTAGCAGGTCCCCAGAAGAGACACTACTAACAAAGTACTGTCCCAGGTATTGGCCACTAGCAGGTCCCCAGAAGAGACACTACTAACAAAGTACTGTCCCAGGTATTGGCCACTAGCAGGTCCCCAGAAGAGACACCACTAACAAAGTACTGTCCCAGGTATTGGCCACTAGCAGGTCCCCAGAAGAGACACCACTAACAAAGTACTGTCCCAGGTATTGGCCACTAGCAGGTCCCCAGAAGAGACACTACTAACAAAGTACTGTCCCAGGTATTGGCCACTAGCAGGTCCCCAGAAGAGACACTACTAACAAAGTACTGTCCCAGGTATTGGCCACTAGCAGGTCCCCAGAAGAGACACCACTAACAAAGTACTGTCCCAGGTATTGGCCACTAGCAGGTCCCCAGAAGAGACACTACTAACAAAGTACTGTCCCAGGTATTGGCCACTAGCAGGTCCCCAGAAGAGACACCACTAACAAAGTACTGTCCCAGGTATTGGCCACTAGCAGGTCCCCAGAAGAGACACTACTAACAAAGTACTGTCCCAGGTATTGGCCACTAGCAGGTCCCCAGAAGAGACACCACTAACAAAGTACTGTCCCAGGTATTGGCCACTAGCAGGTCCCCAGAAGAGACACCACTAACAAAGTACTGTCCCAGGTATTGGCCACTAGCAGGTCCCCAGAAGAGACACTACTGCCCCAGTCCAGGTCCCACCAGAGAACACATGAAGTCCACCTTCCTTCTGTTCGAGTTGGAGCGAGCGCCGACTAACTTGACGATTGTTCTCACTGATACTCCACTCGTTGATGGTTCCTATGATAGTTCTCAGCAGTGAAAATACTTTCTTGAGGCAGAAGAGAGGGATTTTTTTCATTTTTTAATTTTAAGCGAGGATTTTAAAGACATAAACCGCAACTTAATGTGAGCAATTTATTTTTGATTTCGTGCTTAAACTGCTATTATATTTGTTTCGTAAGATTTTCTATCATTTTAGATACGTTTATGCTGCAGGGCAAACAAATTAACTGATTCTCGTTCTGTATTTTAGTTGTTTACTATTAGTAGTAGTAGCATTTTAGTTGATTTGTAGCTCTCCTAATTTCTATGACAAACTCCATCCATTATTCCTGATCCGATAGATAATACTGCCTGATCTAGGAATTGAATAATTCTGATTAAGCAGCAAAATAATATTGTTAAAATATTTTCATAGTTTTTACTTCAAAGCACACCTTGTAACTAATCTAACCCTGTATTTGACGTTAGTTTAGCAGAGACCAATGCTGCTGCCTGCTCTACTCTCTCTGCTCATTGTAACGGTACACTCAGTAGATCTACCCCGCCTACCTCTAGTCCCCTACCCTCAACATGTCTCTCTTCTCTCCTCCTCCTCCTCCTCCTCCTCCTCCTCCTCTGCTCTTATAGACCCCCTCACCTTCACCTTCTCTACCACATCTAGCAGTGTGCTTCTTAAAGAGGTAAAATATCTGGTGTTTCTCTTTAACAGATATCATAACTGTTCGGCTCAGTAGCTTCATTGATTGGTCGGTCAATAAAACTGTTTATCCAGATAGTTCCCGCTTTAAATACCGTTCAGAACTGTTTAATTTATATTAGTATTTTATTAGAAATAATTGTTCTGTGATAATTGCCATATCCCAGGTGTTTGATCGCTACCACAAGTATTTGAAACTCCACGATTTTGTACAGAAACTGAACGTTACTCTGCCTAACCTAGAGGTGGTTATCGAGGATCCTGACGAGGAGCTGCTTTTAATGACCAGTGAGAATTACACCCTCACTATTCAAACTAACTCTGCTATTCTTCAGGTTTCTTCTTTCTTTCACTTTTCTGCAACTCTTTTCAGCCCTTTTTCTCCACTCTTTGGTATTTGGCGGTGTTTTGTGATTGAAGCCTGCTAGTTATATAATGTGAGATATCATGTTCAGGCAGATACAGTATTCGGAGCTATGAGAGGACTAGAAACATTCAGCCAGCTAGTGAACACCAACAACTACTCTCTCCCCACCCTCCACATAGAGGACTACCCCCGCTACAAGTTCCGGGGCTTCATGTTGGACACTTCCCGGCACTACCTGAGTGTGGGGGTACTCAAGCAGCTGATCAGGGCGGCATCCTGGTCCAAACTGAACGTGTTCCACTGGCACATAGTGGACGACCCCTCCTTCCCCTACTGTAGCGTGGTCTACCCAGACCTGTGCAGAAAGGGAGCTTTCTCGCCTCACCATGTTTACTCCCAGTCTGATGTACTGGAGATCATCCTCTTCTCCTACAAACACGGGGTTATTGTTCTGCCTGAGCTGGACACTCCTGGTCACACCCTTTCCTGGGGGGCCGCCCTCCCTGGCTTCCTCACTCACTGTCCAGGACACGGTAATATTGGCTCAGACTATGGGCCTATTGACCCGAGTAACGATGCTGTCTACCCTGTACTTAAGAAACTGTTCACTGAAATTACAAACGTTTTCCCTTCAGAATTTGTACATTTAGGTGGTGATGAAGTACACTACGGATGTTGGAAGAGTGATCAGAATCTTACTAATTGGATGGCAGTTCATAACATTTCTGGAAATTATGAAGAATTGGAGGACTATTACGAAACGAGGTTGTTGAAAATAGTGAACTCTTTGAACAAGAACTACATTGTGTGGGAAGAAATCTACACTCATCACCTAGACATAACCCCGGAGACCATTATACACGCCTGGCTACCCAACTGGAAGAAGGTGTTTCAAAATGCCACCTCGGAGGGCTACAGGTGCATTCTCTCAGCGTGCTGGTATCTGAACCGCATATCCTACGGGGAGGATTGGCAGCGGTTCTACAAGTGTGACCCCAGGTCCTTTAACGTGACGGCTCCCTACTCCCAGCAGCAGCTGGTACTGGGGGGCACTATCTGTATGTGGGGGGAGTACGTGGACAACACTAACGTCCTCCATAGAACCTGGCCCCGTGCCAGTGCTCCAGCAGAGCGACTGTGGGCCCCAGAGTACCTGACTGATGTGAAGTTCATGGAGCCCCGCATAGAGGCCCACAGATGTAGGATGGTGCGCAGGGGGTACCCAGCTGAGCCCACCCTGTCACGTGGGCACTGTCACGTGGAGTACACGTGGGCAACACACCACTAGAATACTGCTTACTCAGTGGCTGGCAAACCGCCAACTCTGTTAATCATCCTTGTTTGTACATTTAGTTAAATAATTTTGTTATATTAATAACTTATCAATTGTTAATGTTGACACAAATTTCATATTACTGTATTAGCAGAAATTTGAAATATTGTGATTTAGATAGTTTTTGATAAATTGAGCTTTTTTATGGACATTTTTAATCATTTTTGGACATTAACATTTACTCTCACTGAATACATAAAAATATTTCTTATCAGTTAGATATTGATTCAAATTAAGATATATTGGCACTTTCACTGTGTTAAAACACCACACCTTCTAACTAATCTCACCCTGTATTTGACGTTAGTTTAGCAGAGACCAATGCTGCTGCCTGCTCTACTCTCTCTGCTCACTGTAACGGTACACTCAGTAGATCTACCCCAGCTACCTCTAGTCCCCTACCCTCAACATGTCTCTCTTCTCTCCTCCTCCTCTGCTCTTATAGACCCCCTCACCTTCACCTTCTCTACCACATCTAGCAGTGTGCTTCTTAAAGAGGTAAAATATCTGGTGTTTCTCTTTAACAAATATCATAACTGTTCGGCAGCTTCGGCTCAGTAGCTTCATTGCTTGATCGGTCAATAAAACTGTTTATCCAGATAGTTCCCGCTTTAAATACCGTTCAGAACTGTTTAATTTATAGTATTTTATTAGAAATAATTGTTCTGTGATTGCCATATCCCAGGTGTTTGATCGCTACCACAAGTATTTGAAACTCCACGATTTTGTACAGAAACTGAACGTTACTTTGCCTAACCTAGAGGTGGTTATCAAGGATCCTGACGAGGAGTTGCTTTTAATGACCAGTGAGAATTACACCCTCACTATTCAAACTAACTCTGCTATTCTTCAGGTTTCTTCTTTCTTTCACTTTTTCTCTTTCTGCAACTCTTTTCAGCCCTTTTCCTCCACTCTTTGGTATTAGGCGGTGTTTTGTGATTGAAGCCCGCTAGTTATATAATGTGAGATATCATGTTCAGGCAGATACAGTATTCGGAGCTATGAGAGGACTAGAAACATTCAGCCAGCTAGTGAACACCAACAACTACTCTCTCCCCACCCTCCACATAGAGGACTACCCCCGCTACAAGTTCCGGGGCTTCATGTTGGACACTTCCCGGCACTACCTGAGTGTGGGGGTACTCAAGCAACTGATCAGGGCGGCATCCTGGTCCAAACTGAACGTGTTCCACTGGCACATAGTGGACGACCCCTCCTTCCCCTACTGTAGCGTGGTCTACCCAGACCTGTGCAGAAAGGGAGCTTTCTCTCCTCACCATGTTTACTCCCAGTCTGATGTTCTGGAGATCATCCTCTTCTCCTACAAACACGGGGTTATTGTTCTGCCTGAGCTGGACACTCCTGGTCACACCCTTTCCTGGGGGGCCGCCCTCCCTGGCTTCCTTACTCACTGTCCAGGACACGGTAATATTGGATCAGACTATGGGCCTATTGACCCTAGTAACGAAGCTGTCTACCCTGTACTAAAGAAACTGTTCACTGAAATTACAAACGTTTTCCCTTCAGAATTTGTACATTTAGGTGGTGATGAGGTCCACTACGGATGTTGGAAGAGTGATCAGAATCTTACTAATTGGATGGCAGTTCATAACATTTCTGGAAATTATGAGGCATTGGAGGACTATTATGAGACGAGGTTGTTGAAAATAGTGAACTCTTTGAACAAGAACTACATTGTGTGGGAAGAAATCTACAATCATCACCTAGACATAACCCCGGAGACCATTATACACGCCTGGCTACCCAACTGGAAGAAGGTGTTTCAAAATGCCACCTCGGAGGGCTACAGGTGCATTCTCTCAGCGTGCTGGTATCTGAACCGCATATCCTACGGGGAGGATTGGCGGCGGTTCTACAAGTGTGACCCCAGGTCCTTTAACGTGACGGCTCCCTACTCCCAGCAGCAGCTGGTACTGGGGGGCACTATCTGTATGTGGGGGGAGTACGTGGACAACACTAACGTCCTCCATAGAACCTGGCCCCGTGCCAGTGCTCCAGCAGAGCGACTGTGGGCCCCAGAGTACCTGACTGATGTGAAGTTCATGGAGCCCCGGATAGAGGCCCACAGATGTAGGATGGTGCGCAGGGGGTACCCAGCTGAGCCCACCCTGTCACGTGGGCACTGTCACGTGGAGTACACGTGGGCAACACACCACTAGAATACTGCTTACTCAGTGGCTGGCAAACCGCCAACTCTGTTAATCATCCTTGTTTGTACATTTAGTTAAATAATTTTGTTATATTAATAACTTATCAATTGTTAATGTTGACACAAATTTCATATTACTGTATTAGCAGAAATTTGAAATATTGTGATTTAGATAGTTTTTGATAAATTGAGCTTTTTTATGGACATTTTTAATCATTTTTGGACATTAACATTTACTCTCACTGAATACATAAAAATATTTCTTATCAGTTAGATATTGATTCAAATTAAGATATATTGGCACTTTCACTGTGTTAAAACACCAAACATTGTAACTAATCTAACCCTGTATTTGACGTTAGTTTAGCAGAGACCAATGCTGCTGCCTGCTCTACTCTCTCTGCTCACTTTAACGGTACACTCAGTAGATCTACCCCACCTACCTCTAGTCCCCTACCCTCAACATGTCTCTCTTCTCTCCTCCTCCTCTGCTCTTATAGACCCCCTCACCTTCACCTTCTCTACCACATCTAGCAGTGTGCTTCTTAAAGAGGTAAAATATATGGTGTTTCTCTTTAACAGATATCATAACTGTTCGGCTCAGTTGCTTCATGGCTTGGTCGGTCAATAAAACTGTTTATCCAGATAGTTCCCGCTTTAAATACCGTTCAGAACTGTTTAATTTATAGTATTTTATTAGAAATAATTGTTCTGTGATTGCCATATCCCAGGTGTTTGATCGCTACCACAAGTATTTGAAACTCCACGATTTTGTACAGAAACTGAACGTTACTTTGCCTAACCTAGAGGTGGTTATCAAGGATCCTGACGAGGAGTTGCTTTTAATGACCAGTGAGAATTACACCCTCACTATTCAAACTAACTCTGCTATTCTTCAGGTTTCTTCTTTCTTTCACTTTTTCTCTTTCTGCAACTCTTTTCAGCCCTTTTCCTCCACTCTTTGGTATTAGGCGGTGTTTTGTGATTGAAGCCCGCTAGTTATATAATGTGAGATATCATGTTCAGGCAGATACAGTATTCGGAGCTATGAGAGGACTAGAAACATTCAGCCAGCTAGTGAACACCAACAACTACTCTCTCCCCACCCTCCACATAGAGGACTACCCCCGCTACAAGTTCCGGGGCTTCATGTTAGACACTTCCCGGCACTACCTGAGTGTGGGGGTACTCAAGCAGCTGATCAGGGCGGCATCCTGGTCCAAACTGAACGTGTTCCACTGGCACATAGTGGACGACCCCTCCTTCCCCTACTGTAGCGTGGTCTACCCAGACCTGTGCAGAAAGGGAGCTTTCTCTCCTCACCATGTTTACTCCCAGTCTGATGTACTGGAGATCATCCTCTTCTCCTACAAACACGGGGTTATTGTTCTGCCTGAGCTGGACACTCCTGGTCACACCCTTTCCTGGGGGGCCGCCCTCCCTGGCTTCCTCACTCACTGTCCAGGACACGGCAATATTGGAGCCCCTTACGGCCCTGTAGACCCTACTAATGAGGCCGTATATCCGGTACTGAAGGAACTGTTTACGGAGATAACTAACGTGTTCCCCGGTGAGTTCGTGCACCTTGGTGGGGACGAAGTGCATTATCCCTGTTGGAAGAGCAACCCGAACATAACAGCCTGGATGGCAGCCCACAACATGACGGGGAACTACGACCAGCTGGAGAACTACTACGAGACCAGACTCCTTAACATCGTCAACTCGCTTAACAAGAACTACATAGTCTGGGAGGAGGTGTTCTACCACCATGTCGACATTACCCCCCAGACCATTGTTCACGCTTGGAAACCCAACTGGAAGACCATATTCCAGGATGCGACCGCAGCAGGGTTCCGGTGCATCCTCTCAGCAGGTTGGTACATCAGTCGTATCGCGTACGGGGAGGACTGGCAGAACTTCTACCTGGTGGAGCCCCGCTCCTTCAACGACACGGCTACCCCGGAACAGAAAGCCCTGGTGTTGGGAGGGACTGTGTGCATGTGGGGTGAGCATGTAGACAACTCCAATATTCTCTCCCGGTTTTGGCCCCGTGCCAGTGCTCCAGCAGAGCGACTGTGGGCCCCAGAGTACCTGACTGATGTGAAGTTCATGGAGCCCCGGATAGAGGCCCACAGATGTAGGATGGTGCGCAGGGGGTACCCAGCTGAGCCCACCCTGTCACGTGGGCACTGTCACGTGGAGTACACGTGGGCAACACACCACTAGAATACTGCTTACTCAGTGTCTGGCAGACCGCCAACACTGTTAATCATCCTTGTTTGTACATTTAGTTTGATAATCTTGTTATATTAAATAACTTATCAATTATTAATGTTAGTTCCTCTATGCGATATGTATATTTACTTTTAATAATTGTAAGTGTGAACTCGAGTAAAAAGATCTATTTCTTCTTTATGATTTTATTCAGATTTTTTGATTTGATATTTGTATGTTGTTTAATGTTTATCTTCGATATATTATTAAAATAGTGTTGTCATATTTTTTCTCCTTTAACATAATCCGCTAACTTATAATCTATAAATTATCTTATTATTATTTCTTAAGTTATTATGTACGGGTTGTTGAGTTTAAATATACCTTGCTACACACACATGTTACAGAGTCACGTGACATGTTACATAACCCCTGTTGTTTAGGATGAGTCACGTGGTGTGTACTCTCCTGTTAATACTCTTGTTGGTCTCCACCTCGCTAACTAAGAGATCCTTTGTGGTGGATCACAAAGAGAACTGCTTCAGAAAGGACGGGCTCAAGTTCCAGTTCATATCCGGCTCTATGCACTATTACAGGTAGTGCTATGTAACCATAGTAACCATAGCACTATTACAGGTAGTGCTATGTAACCATAGCTACCATATACACGGACAAATACTTATCATGAATCCTTTCGGGCGTTCATTTTAATGTCCGTTCACGCAATGTCTGGTCGAATAACGTCCGATAAGGAAGTGGTTTGTTCCGCAAGTGCAATGTTTATTATAGTTCAATTAGTAGTTGTCAGATTATAAATGAGTTTTCCTCAGGATACCAAAACCTTATTGGAAGGACAGATTACTAAAGCTAAAAGGGGCTGGATTTAACACCGTTCAAACGTAAGTGAGTCATTACAGAGGGAGAGTAAGTAATCATTACAGCATCTCCTAGTGAACTTTTAATCATTACAGTATCTCCTAGCGAACTTGTAATCTCATAGCGAACTTGTAATCTCCTAGCGAACTTGTAATCTCCTAGTGAACTTGTAATCTCCTAGTGAACTTGTAATCTCTTAGTGAACTTGTAATCTCCTAGTGAACTTGTAATCTCCTAGTGAACTTGTAATCTCCTAGCGAACTTGTAATCTCATAGCGAACTTGTAATCTCCTAGCGAACTTGTAATCTCCTAGCGAACTTGTAATCTCCTAGCGAACTTGTAATCTCCTAGCGAACTTGTAATCTCCTAGTGAACTTGTAATCTCCTAGCGAACTTGTAATCTCCTAGTGAACTTGTAATCTCCTAGCGAACTTGTAATCTCCTAGCGAACTTGTAATCTCCTAGCGAACTTGTAATCTCCTAGCGAACTTGTAATCTCCCTAGCGTACTTGTAATCTCCTAGTGAACTTGTAATCTCCTAGTGAACTTGTAATCTCCTAGTGAACTTGTAATCTCCTCGGTGAACTTGTATCTCCTAGCGAACTTGTAATCTCTAGGCGAACTTGTAATCTCCTAGTGAACTGTAATCTCCTAGGTGAACTTGTAATCTCTAGCGATCTTGTATCTCCTGGGACTTGTAATCTTTCTAGTGAACGTGTAATCTCCTAGCGAACTTGTAATCTCCTAGCAAACTTTGTAATCTCCAGTGAATCTTGTAATCTCCTAGTGAACCTAGTAATCTCCTGAGTGAACCTTGTAATCTTCTAGCGAACTTGTAATCTCCTAGCGAACTTGTAATCTCCCTAGCGAACTTGTAATCTCCTAGCGAACTTGTAATCTCCTAGTGAACTTGTTAATCTCCCGGTTGGGAAATTTTTAAACTCCTAGTGAAATTGTAATCTCCTGGGGGAATTGTAATCTCCTAGCGAACTTGTAATCCCCCTGGGGGGAAATTGTAAACTTCTTAGTGAACTTTTTAATCCCCCTAGGGGAAAATTTGTAATCTCCCAGCGAACTTGTAATTCCCCAAATGAAAAAGTAAACTCCCAGTGAAATTGTAATTTTCCCGGTGAACTTGTAATCTTTAGGGGAACCCTTTTAAAAACCCCAGCGAACTTGTAATTTCCTTTGCGAACTTGTAATCTCTAGCGAACTTTAATCTCCTGGGGAACTTGTAAACTCCTAGTGGAAAATTTTTAATCTCCTGGGGAACTTGTAATCTCCCGTTTAACTTGTAATCTCCTGGTGAATTTTTAATCTCCCAGGGAATTGTAATCTCCTGGTGAAAATTGTTAAACTCCTAGGTGAACTTGTAAAACTCCTTGTGAACTTGTTAAACTCCTTTGGGGAACTTGTAATCCCTAGTGAACTTGTAATCTCCTAGTGAACTTGTAATCTCCTAGTGAACTTGTAATCTCCTGGTGAACTTGTAATCTCCTAGTGAACTTGTAATCTCCTAGTGAACTTGTAATCTCCTAGCGAACTTGTAATCTCCTAGTGAACTTGTAATCTCCTGGTGAACTTGTAATCTCCTAGTGAACTTGTAATCTCCTAGTGAACTTGTAATCTCCTAGTGAACTTGTAATCTCCTGGTGAACTTGTAATCTCCTAGTGAACTTGTAATCTCCTGGTGAACTTGTAATCTCCTGGTGAACTTGTAATCTCCTGGTGAACTTGTAATCTCCTGGTGAACTTGTAATCTCCTAGTGAACTTGTAATCTCCTAGTGAACTTGTAATCTCCTAGCGAACTTGTAATCTCCTAGCGAACTTGTAATCTCCTAGTGAACTTGTAATCTCCTAGTGAACTTGTAATCTCCTGGTGAACTTGTAATCTCCTAGGGAACTTGTAATCTCCTAGTGAACTTGTAATCTCCTAGCGAACTTGTAATCTCCTAGTGAACTTGTAATCTCCTAGTGAACTTGTAATCTCCTAGTGAACTTGTAATCTCCTAGTGAACTTGTAATCTCCTGGTGAACTTGTAATCTCCTAGTGAACTTGTAATCTCCTGGTGAACTTGTAATCTCCTAGTGAACTTGTAATCTCCTAGTGAACTTGTAATCTCCTAGTGAACTTGTAATCTCCTAGGTGAACTTGTAATCTCCTGGTGAACTTGTAATCTCCTAGTGAACTTGTATCTCCTAGTGAACTTGTAATCTCCTAGTGAACTTGTAATCTCCTAGTGAACTTGTAATCTCTGGTGAACTTGTAATCTCCTGGTGAACTTGTAATCTCCTAGTGAACTTGTAATCTCCTGGTGAACTTGTAATCTCCTAGTGAACTTGTTAATCTCCTAGCGAACTTGTAATCTCCTAGCGAACTTGTAATCTCCTAGTGACTTGTAATCTCCTGGTGAACCTTGTAATCTCCTGGTGAACTTGTAATCTCTAGTGAACTTGTAATCTCCTAGGTGAACTTGTAATCTCCTAGTGAAACTGTAATCTCCTAGTGAACTTGTAATCTCCTGGTGAACTTGTAATCTCCTAGCGAACTTGTAATCTCCTGGTGAACTTGTAATCTCCTAGTGAACTTGTAATCTCCTGGTGAACTTGTAATTCCTAGTGAACTTGTAATCTCCTGGTGAACTTGTAATCTCCTAGTGAACTTGTACTCTCTAGTGAACTTGTAATCTCCTAGCTGAACTTGTAATCTCCTGGTGAACTTGTAATCTCCTAGTGACTTGTAATCTCCTAGCTGAACTTGTAATCTCCTGCTGAACTTGTAATAAGTGACTACCCTAGCTGAACTTGTAATCTCCTAGTGAACTTGTAATATCCTAGCTGAACTTGTAATCTCCTAGGTGAAAACTTGTAATCTCCTAGTGAACTTGTAATCTCCTGGTGAACTTGTAATCTCCTAGTGAACTTGTAATCTCCTGGTGAACTTGTAATCTCCTGGTGAACTTGTAATCTCCTAGTGAACTTGTAATCTCCTGGTGAACTTGTAATCTTCTAGTGAACTTGTAATCTCCCTGGTGAACTTGTAATCTCCTGGTGAACTTGTAATCTCCTAGTGAACTTGTAATCTCCTAGCGAACTTGTAATCTCCTGGTGAACTTGTAATCTCCTGGTGAACTTGTAATCTCCTAGGTGAACTTGTAATCTCCTGGTGAACTTGTAATCTCCTAGTGAACTTGTAATCTCCTAGTGAAACTTGTAATCTCCTAGCGAACTTGTAATCTCCTGGTGAACTTGTAATCTCCTAGTGAACTTGTAATCTCCTGGTGAACTTGTAATCTCCTAGTGAACTTGTAATCTCCTGGTGAACTTGTAATCTCCTAGTGAACTTGTAATCTCCTGGTGAACTTGTAATCTCCTAGTGAACTTGTAATCTCCTAGCGAACTTGTAATCTCCTGGTGAACTTGTAATCTCCTGGTGAACTTGTAATCTCCTAGTGAACTTGTAATCTCCTGGTGAACTTGTAATCTCCTGGTGAACTTGTAATTCCTAGTGAACTTGTAATCTCCTAGCGAACTTGTAATCTCCTGGTGAACTTGTAATCTCCTGGTGAACTTGTAATCTCCCTAGTGAACTTGTAATCTCCCTGGTGAACTTGTAATCTCTAGTGAACTTGTAATCTCCTAGCGAACTTGTAATCTCCTGGGAACTTGTAATCTCCTAGCGAACTTGTAATCTCCTGGTGAACTTGTAATCTCCTAGTGAACTTGTAATCTCCTGGTGAACTTGTATTTCTAGGTGAACTTGTAATCTCTGGTGAACTTGTAATCTCCTGGTGAACTTGTATCTCCTGGTGAACTTGTAATCTCCTGGTGAACTTGTAATCTCCTAGTGAACTTGTAATCTCATGGTGAACTTGTAATCTCCTGGTGAACTTGTAATCTCCTAGTGAACTTGTAATCTCCTGGTGAACTTGTAATCTCCTAGTGAACTTGTAATCTCCTAGCGAACTTGTAATCTCCTAGTGAACTTGTAATCTCCTAGCGAACTTGTAATCTCCTGGTGAACTTGTAATCTCCTGGTGAACTTGTAATCTCCTAGTGAACTTGTAATCTCCTGGTGAACTTGTAATCTCCTGGTGAACTTGTAATCTCCTAGCGAACTTGTAATCTCTGGTGAACTTGTAATCTCCTGGTGAACTTGTAATCTCCTGGTGAACTTGTAATCTCCTAGTGAACTTGTAATCTCCTGGTGAACTTGTAATCTCCTAGTGAACTTGTAATCTCCTAGCGAACTTGTAATCTCCTGGTGAACTTGTAATCTCCTAGTGAACTTGTAATCTCCTAGTGAACTTGTAATCTCCTGGTGAACTTGTAATCTCCTAGTGAACTTGTAATCTCCTGGTGAACTTGTAATCTCCTAGTGAACTTGTAATCTTCTAGTGAACTTGTAATCTCCTAGTGAACTTGTAATCTCCTGGTGAACTTGTAATCTCCTGGTGAACTTGTAATCTCCTTGTGAACTTGTAATCTCCTGGTGAACTTGTAATCTCCTAGTGAACTTGTAATCTCCTAGCGAACTTGTAATCTCCTAGTGAACTTGTAATCTCCTAGTGAACTTGTAATCTCCTGGTGAACTTGTAATCTCCTGGTGAACTTGTAATCTCCTGGTGAACTTGTAATCTCCTGGTGAACTTGTAATCTTCTAGCGAACTTGTAATCTCCTAGCGAACTTGTAATCTCCTAGCGAACTTGTAATCTCCTAGCGAACTTGTAATCTCCTAGTGAACTTGTAATCTCCTGGCGAACTTTTAATCTCCTGGTGAACTTGTAATCTCCTAGTGAACTTGTAATCTCCTGGTGAACTTGTAATCTCCTAGTGAACTTGTAATCTCCTGGTGAACTTGTAATCTCCTAGCGAACTTGTAATCTCCTAGCGAACTTGTAATCTCCTAGCGAACTTGTAATCTCCTAGCGAACTTGTAATCTCCTAGCGAACTTGTAATCTCCTAGGGAACTTGTAATCTCCTAGTGAACTTGTAATCTCCTAGCGAACTTGTAATCTC